GCCACCACTGAAGTCTGAAAGCACAGCTTGTACCCAGGCAGCCGATCCCACTGCTTCTGGAGCAACGATGGGTCCCTGAGCCCCAGGCTCAGTCCCTGCTTTGCTCCTAGGCTCCCTTCCAGGCTTACAGCTTCGGGCAACGTCTCACTCACCTCATGGTCCAGGCAAATCAGGCCTTTCCTGAAACCTGCCTCACTCCAGGGTATCTCTTTGTTTCTGCCTGTAGGACTTTTGCCCACCTTTAGAGCCTGACCACATGCCCCCTCCTCCTCCACTACCCCAGTAAGGACCCAGTGCCTGCACTCTCTCCACGGTCAGTCTTCAGTGGCCACGGCCCTGGGCCTTTACCCTTGCTGCTCCTTCTGTGGTAGGGTGGGGCTCCCAGGAGAGCATGCCCTGCCATCCCATTCATCCTTGGAATCTCTGGGGAATCCCTGGCTGCAGGAGGCAAGACAGCAGGATGCTCTTGCAGGGAGTGAAGGCACAATGTTCCTGGGTCATTACGAACTCTGAGGATGCATTTTATTTTCCAGTCAAGGTAGACTATCTTTTTATCATTTTTTCAAACTGTTTAGTTCAGAAAATTTCAGAGGCAGTAAAGCAGAGAGAGGGTTGAAATAAACCCGTCTTAGGCCTGCCCCCATTCTAACAGTTATTGGTAGGCACGTGTTATGGCCACTGTTTGCTGGCATTCACGGGGCACTTAGTGTGTGCCCAGTGCTGGGTGTAGGTAAACTGTGCTCATTATCGCCAGGAATCAGCTTGGCCACCCACTCATGTTCCAGGGGAATTTCATCTCCTGCCTTCAGGAGCTCTTTCAAACTTAGCAGCAAAGCCCTTTTTCTGGCAAATCTTTTTTCCAACTCTAAGAGTTAAAACAGAAAAGTGGTGTGTTTTTTTTTTTTTTAACAAAAATGTATTACAAGAGTTTACTTTTGGGGAATTGGATGGAAAGGAGGAGTGTGCTGTCACAGTGTGGGGAGAGCCATTAGGGTCACATAACAGTGTATGTACAAATTTTTATATGGGAAAAATAAAAAAAAGAGTTTACTTTTATACTACTTACTTATAAGACCAATTTGTCTATTGGAAAGAACAATAGAAGTGCCATAATGAGCATTAAAATTTGGATTTCGATAACAATTACCATGTTAAAATTTCACGTGTTTCAATATTTTGTTTTAGTTGAAAAGTGTCCCACAATTGCTATTGGTAGCAGTTTTTTTTTTTTTCTTTGTTTATTTGTTTTTAGCCATTTTCCTTGCAGTCTAAAGAGTCTGTTCAATTAAATTGATCCAAATGCTGGGAAGAAGAGCTGTAGGGTTGCTTTTTTTTGCAGAGTTTAAACATTGATCTAACAGATGCTCACAGTCTATATTGTAAATGTAAAAGATAAGAAGAAACCCAAACTTAAAATAAGCAGAACTACTTATCATACAATATGCATCTAATCATGCTTTCAGTGCTGCTGCTGCCTGCTCCGCAGTGGTGGGGACACGTGCTGAGCTGGGGGCAAGTTCTCTGTGCTGTGATTGTAGAAACAAACTTGAGTTTTTAAAAGAGCAATGCAAAAGCTGGAGTCTTACTTGGTGACTCATTTACAAGAGGTCAAATACATGTGCATTAATGGCAGAAGTTTTAGTTTAACTTCCTCCCAAGAAGAATTAATCTGGCCACATAAATGAATACATTGGATGTAGGACCAGGTAGTGTTCCATTCAGTTGTACATGGGGTCGCCATGAGTCGGGACCCGACAGGATGACAGCTAACAGCAACAAGTCTCTGACGAGTTCATATTTTGTAAACAGACATTTGAGTGTGTTTTGGGTTTTATTACCATTTTAAAATAAAGGAAAAGAAAACATTGGAATCAAACATTTGCAGAAACCCCAGAGCACCTCCACAGAATATCAGGGTTCCACAGAACCTAGTTTGAAAATCAGGGTACCATGCAGAGTGAATTTGTGAAGGGACAAGGAAAGGTCTCTTTTTCAGCTGTTTTGTACCCAATCACTGTTTAGAATGAGACTCATTAAGACAGACAGATACAGACTGCAGTCAAGCAAAGAATATTTATACCTTGATCCTACTCCTCTCTCTTTCCCTATGTGTGTTTGGAAGTAAAAGGGGTGGATGTGTCCCTTTACATCTGAAAGGGCTGCCTCTTTGTGACAGCCCAGTTTTCCTCCCTCCCTTCCTCATTTTATGCCTCCCTCCCTCCTCTGCTTTCCTTCCTTCCTTCCTTCTCTCCCTCTCCCTCCCTCCTATCCCTCCTTCCCTCTTCCTCTCTTCTTCCTCCCTCCCTCCTTCCTTCCTTCCTTCTCTCCCTCTCCCTCTCTCCTATCCCTTCCTCTTCCTCTCTCCTTCCTCCCTCCCTCCTTCCTTTCTTCCTCCCTCCTTCCTTCCTTTCTCCCTTCCACCTCCTTCCTTCCTTCCCTCCATCTTTTCTTCCTCCCCTCTCTTTCCTTCCTTCCCTTCCTTCCTTCCAGCTTCATCACATTATATTTGAACATCATATTTGAACCGTTACTTTCCTGTACTTTTTATTCCCCAGTTTCTGGTTGTCTTTTTTATTATTATTACAACAATTTTAAAAAAAAGTTTTCTTAATCAAATCCATGATATTTTCCAGCTTGATATTTCTCCTTTCTATTGCTCTGAATCTACTCCATTCTCTCCTCAGAGACTATTAATATCTTGTTCTAATGTGAACCCCTCTTTTCTAGGCCAACTGCCCATTGCTCATCCTGGAAATCCGTCTTACCAGGATGAAAGCAAAGAAAAAAGAAATAAACTATTGGACTAAACCTATTTCTTCTTTCGTTGCTTTTGTCTTCCTTAAGTCCATGCCCATGAAAATGTACATGAGGAACAGACTCTTCAAGGCCTGGTGTTCTGGAAAACATCATTCTTTGTTTTCATTTTTCAGTGGTTCCTATCAGCTTTTGGACAGTTCTTCCTGTTATTTCTTTGGTAACTTTCTCCCTCTCACTGTTGTCTCTTGATGGAGCTTCTGTTAGCTGAGTTCTCCCGGCCTTGACCTCTGTGACACTCACCATGTCTGTCTGATGCATCACTGCTGTGTCCTGGGACAGATCATTGATTTTTATCAGTCAAACATCCTACCTGTTTTTAAAACTGTATTTCACAAATCATATTTTTTATTTCCATAGTGCTCTTGATTTTTTTTTCTGAAGATATTAGAAATTACTTTTTTTTTTTAACAGTAATTTTTCATCCCTTGCATTGACTGTTTCTTTTTGGATTATTTTTTGGTGTCTACTCTTGACTGTGTCCTTCATTCTACATGTTGTCCACAAACATCTTGAGATTTTGAGTTTTCTATTTAGAGAAACTCAGGAATAGAAACCACCACCTGTCTGTCAGTTTGTGGTACTGTGGTGGTTGCTGTGATGCTGGAAGCTATGCTGCCTGTATTTCAAATACCAGCAGGGTCACCCATGGTGAATAGGTTTCAGCAGAGCTCCCAGACTAAGACAGACTAAGAAGAAAGGCCAGGAGATCTATTTCTTAAAAGCAGCCAATGAAAACCCTATGGATCGCAACAGAATGTTGTCTGATACATTGCTAGAAGATGAGCCCTCTAGGTTGGAAGGCACTCAAAATACACAGTGGACAGAGCAGGAGACTAGACCATACCAACAACTGTGAAGATGGGCAAAATTTTGTTCTGGTGTACATGGGATCATCATGAGTTGGAGCAGACTCAGTGGCAACTAACAACAATGACAGAAAAGGATTCTGAGGCTCTGTGGAAGTGGACAGAGATTTAGTTAAGGGTGAGGTGAGTGGAACCCAGGCAACCCTTACACCAGCGTCCCACAGTTAACAGAATGAGGGGAACTTTACTCTGTGGTGCTAGTGCCTTGACTGCCCATGTTTCCTTGGGGGTAGTTTAGTTTTTATGTTAAGTGCAGGGCTGTTTGTTTACATTTTTGCTCCTTTTTTTTTTTTTTTTTGTCCTTTCTTTATCCAAGTTGCTAACTCCAGGCTGCAGGAGGTTCTGTATGTGAGCAGGGGTTGGGGGAGAGGGGCTGGGGCTGGGGTGCACTTGTCTAAAATGTTCGCTTCTGCTGTCCTCACCAGTCCTCTTTCCTGTCATCTGATTGTGGAGCCCAGACTGCTCTGGGCATCCCTGGCACCCAGCTCCCTCCTGCACTCTGTGGCTTCAGTCCTTCAAGGTGTATTTACTGAGCACCAACCATGTGTTAAGACCCCACTCAAGGAACTGGAACAAGAGCCATGAGCAAAGGGAGCCCAAATCCCTGCCCCGTGGAACTGGCAAGGTGGCCGTTTCCTTCCTACACTCCTTGTTTTTGGTGTTAGCTGCTATCCAGTCCACCCCAGTCTCATGGAGACCCCATGCACAGTGGAACAAAATGATGCCTGGTCCTGCACCATCCCCATGATCGGCTGTAGATCAGACCATTGTGATCCATGGGCTTTTCATTGGCTGATTTTCAGAAGTAGATTGCCAGGCCTTTCTTCCTAGAACGTCTAAGTCTGGAAGCTCTGCTGAAACCCGTTTAGCATCATAGCAACACAGAAGCCTGCCCTGACAGATGGGGGTGACTGTCCGTTGGCTGGGAATCAAACTGGTGTCTCCTTCTAGAAGGCAAGAATTCTACCACTAGAACCACCACTGCCTTCGTCCTACTGCTCCTTATCTCCTAAAAATATATTCACATTTCTTATCTGCTAGAGTCTTCCTTTGTTTTATACGCACATATGAAAAAAAATTACAGTTCATATGAATGGGGTATGTGTATGTGTAAGAAATTGGCCCCTTCCAAGATACATTTTTAGAAAGTGTCCCAGACCCAGACAGGAGCTTCAGTGGGTGCACCCAGGCTGCTTGCCTCATACAAGCCGGAGTCCCTGCCAGAGCCTCTCCTGCTCCTACCGTCACAGCTCTGTCATGACCTGGAAGCCCTCTGCCTGGTAATGTTGGCTCATGGAATGCTTTTGCTGTTTCCAGTGCTGATGAGAGGTTTGATGCCACGTTCCACACCAACGTGTTAGTGAATTCCACTGGGCATTGTCAGTACCTCCCTCCAGGTAAGACCCATTTTCTCTTGTCCTCCTACATTAAGAGAATTGAAGCGAGTTTAGGATGTCGGCCAGCCAGTGCTGTAATATGGGCTGACCTGGCTCTGTGCCCTCTCCTCTATCCATCCTTCTCTCCTCTGTCCTGTTGTTTCTCCTCTTTGCCCTCACACATTTCCTAAATCTGAAAACACCATCTTCTTTTGTCTTGGAGTCAGTGCTCAAGCTCTCTTTGCCAGCAAGTATTGTATGTTCTTATTTTCTTCTGTGTGTTCTTTAAAGTTAAAGAATTAAAGGGAATTTTCCTTGTTAGATAGTTTCCAGCTCTCCTTATAATCCGCAAGCCTCAGAGCCAAGCCACTTACTTCTCCATTTCAGTGGTTTTATTCCTGCTCAGGTCAGTGTCTCTGATGGTGGTGTTGAGGAGGTATTGGAGGTGACACATGGAGCTCATGGTAATCACTTGCTGAGAACGCACTGAAGAGCACTCAGCACGTTAGATCCAAGATCAGATTCCTCCAGAGGAGAACTCAACCAACTCGATTGTTGATCTGCTTCCTAGGATTGAGTGTTTTTTCTGGGAGCCCATCATCTCAGTCAGATTCACTGGGCCCTGGGCTGCTCACAGAGTAAGAGTCATCCACAGGTGGGGCCCTGGACTTTTATGCCCTTGAGGCACATTTGGGGTAGGCTTTAACATGTGGATATCAAGAAAGTTTGTTTTTCTTTTTCCAGGATATTATTTTCCAGGATTATCTCCCCCCCACTCCACTGCCCCTGCTTTTGAATGAGGCCTGATGAAATGTTTGTTTAATCTCCTGCACCTAGACAGCCTGTGCCCGCCCCCCCAACCCACACAGACAGTCCCTTATCTGATGTTTAAACACTCCCTGGTCCTTTAGCCCCAGTCTCAGCGGTGCCACCTGCAGATTGACCTCCCAGCACACACACAGCAAAGCTGACTTTGCCTTTGGGGCTTTGTTTGCAAGCCCTTCCTATTTGGCACAGGATAAACATCCTGAGGCAGAATCTGGTTTCCTCACTTTAGGATGCACTACTATGAAACCCTATGCCTGGACCAGGGTGGGTGTTCCATAACCACCTGTCAGCGTATGAATGAGTGATCGAATCGGTCAGCAGTAGATAACTCCCAGTAATATGTATATAGGTGGAAGACTTGCAGCTTCTCAGGTTTTCTGTTTTAAAGCATCTGCTTTCTTGCTACTCCCCTCTCCCAAGCATACATTTCCTCCTAACTGGAGGCCTGATGCCGCTGCAGACTGGGGCTGTGGGGTGAGTCTTCCTTTCACCAGGCTTGTAAGCTGCAGCTTCTACTATGAGGGCTGCTTGGGAAAACGGTGTCAGTGGTCGTCAGTGTAGAAGTAGAGGGTGCTGCGGATGGTTCTGAAGGCTGAGGCTATTTCTAGAGAATTCCCTGATGCTGACACTGAAGCTCCCAGGTACAGCAGCCCCCTCTAGTGCCCCCTCCCCACGTTCTTGGCCAGGACCTTACACACTGTGCTTTGACCTTGGCATCTCCCTTTCTGTCAGGAAAAGCGTGGAGCCTCTGGCTCAGGGTTGTGTTAGACCTGGCTTTGGGGTGTTGCTCTGCTCGACTCAGCTAGGCATGGGTGAAAAAAGAGTGTTTGATTGTGTTAAAAATAATCAAAACTCAACGGTTTATTTTGAGCAGTTATTCTATATGCATACAGGGAAACCATTCTGATTCCAGAAAAAAGCAAATAGCTCCAAGTAAGCTAGTTACAGTGAAACTTCTAAAGAGAAGAGGGAGGAGAATAGATAAACCATTAGCAAATCTTGACATGATTAGTTGAACCCTGTCCTCCCCTTTTACTGAGATCAACTGATACCTGGCCTTAAGGTGGTCTCTTGCCCTCCACCCACCTGCAGCCATGATACCTTTCGAAATTTAAATTAATTAAGCCTGGCTTTGAACAGGAAAGAAAAGATTAGCAATTTTGGGTGGAAAAGACCACTAGCAGGATTAATTTTTGGTCAAGAATTATTTTATGGTTAATATTTGTTTTCTGGGTAAGAGATACCTTAAAATCAAAGTACAATGTGTTATTAATTTTTCTCTTCAACAATCGCAAGCGTTGAAATAGAGGCACTAGTTATAAAATGACTTCTTTTCCATTGCATGTGTTTAGTTTTTAACCACTTTGTTGTTGTTGTTAGGTGCCGTCCAGTCGGTTCTGACTCATAGTGACCCTGTGTACAATAGAAGGAAGCACTGCCCAGTCCTGCAACATTCTCACGATTATTGTTATGTCTGAGCCCATTGTTGCAGCCACTATGCCAGTCCATCTCATTGAAGGTCTTCCACTTTCTCGCCGACCCTCTACTTTACCAAGCTTGATGTCCCTCTCCAGGGACTGGTCCCTCCTGATAACATGTCCAAAGTACGTGAAACCAAGTCTCACCATCCTCACTTCCAAGGAGCGCTCTGGCTGTATTTCTTCCAAGACAGACTTGTTCATTCTGGCAGCCCATGGTATATTCAGTATTCTTTGCCAACATCCTAATTCAAAGACATGAGTTCTTCTTTGTTCTTCCCTATTCCTTGCCCAGCTTTTGCATGCATATGAGGTGACTGAAAATATCATCTCTTGGGTCAGGTGCACCTTAGTCCTCAAAGTCGCATCTTTGCTTTATAACACTTTAAAGAGGTCTTTTGCAGCAGATTTGCCCAATGCAGTACATCGTTTTTTAATTGCTTTATTGAGGTATGATTTGTATATCATGCAATTCATCCATTGAAGTATATAATTCAGTGATTTTTAGTATATTTCTAGAGTTGCGCAGCTATCATCACAATCTAATTTTAGAACATTTCCATCACTCCAGAAAGATCCCTTTTGCCTGTTTGCAGTCGATTGCGCTCCCTCTGCCAGGCCTCGGCTGCCATTGATTTGCTGTCTCTAGAGAGTCTCCTCTTATCCGTTCATAGAAATGGAATCATACGGTTAAAGAGTTCCATTTTCCAACTTCTAAATAGTGAGGACTTTGGGAGATTAGCCCACTCATGGGAGAGGAGTGTCTGTAATGACTGCTATATTCCTCTGAAGATTTGATATAATACTCTCAAACTGTACTTAAAGGAACTTGAGGAGACAAGGAGTTTATTATCCTTTCTCAGCCTGGCTGTTGGTGGGGACCCATGTTTGCAAAGGCAGTGAGTCCTTTCCTCTGTCCTTTACCTGTTCATTCTTTCTTTAATTCAGTAGCAGAAGTTCACAGAGGACCTGCCCTACCTTCATTAGCCCTGGAGCAGGCTCACTTCCAGTGCCTTCCAGGCTTTTCTGCGGCAGGGAGGAGCAGGTCCGCATGACTAATTAAAAAGGGCTTGTCAGGTCTCCTCTTGGACCTTCTGGAAGACTCACTTAAAACTTGCTGAAGCCTGAAACCCATCTTTTCAGTGGAAGTTCTTCCTTGTGTCTGAACAATATGGCTTCATCATAAGCCTATCAGTTCTTGTTCTGTTCTTGATCTACCATGTAGGTAGTTAAAATAGCCCTCCACGTACATTTCTAGATAACCATGTATTTTGTCTATTTTTAACCTAAAGAAAATGCTACCCCTTCCCCACCAAATACACACACACACATACACACACACATCTTTCGGGTTCTATTTCTAACCCCTTCATTATTTTATTGATTTCTCTGTGATTTTCTATGTTCTTTCCTTTTGTCTTATTATTAGTGTCCGAGGATGCACATAGTAAATGGAAGTTTTCAGAGTTGCTAATTCTTTACATAGAAAGCCCTCAGAGCAGTCTTTTTCAATGGAGTGTGTCAGTGTTGTGTTTAAATTTTAAAAGACAGTGAAGCTTTAACTGAGCTGACATTCTAGAGATTTTCCTAAAAAGGATCAAGCTTGTTTGTTCTATGAGGCTTAACTGCAGTTTGGAGGCAACGTACCAGCACAAAAGCTTCTGCGGGGCACGCAGACCAGAGTTGCTTCCACCAGTGCATCCACTTGGACCACATCCACATGGCTTCATCTGGAAGGGGTTCTAACGGGCAGAGAGGTTTGTGCACAAAGCATGCATGCTGGGAAAGAAACACAGAATATCACAAATGATGTGACCTGTAGCTCTCCAGCCTGTTTATCTGGCCAGCAAGCTTTAACCCCAGTGCAGAACAGGCACTGCATGCTGTGAGCAGTGTGTGAGTATGTAGGCTATGGATGTCCTGCATTTCAGACATGCCTCCGTCAGCTTGCGATTGGTCTTCTGACCATTTCCATCACCCACTCAGGCATATTCAAGAGCTCCTGCTACATTGATGTGCGCTGGTTCCCCTTCGATGTGCAGCAGTGCAAGCTCAAGTTTGGGTCCTGGTCTTATGGAGGTTGGTCCCTGGATTTGCAGATGCAGGAGGCAGACATCAGCGGCTACATCCCGAATGGAGAGTGGGATCTTGTGGGTAAGCTCTGTGGGCGCTAATCAATAGAGGGATTGCCAGCAGATGTTGTTGTTAGGTGCTGTCGAGTTGGTTCCGCCTTATAACTACCCTGTGTACGCAGAACGAAACACTGCCTGGTCCTGTGCCATCCTCACAATCGTTGTTATGCTTGAGCCCATTGTTGCCAGCAGATACACCTGGCAAAAGGCCTGAGAGGAAGTGTTTTTATTCTTGTGGTCTCTTTGAAAGTTTGGGATTTTCCCCTTTGGTTTTTAGTGTGGCTATTTACTGAACCCTGTAGTATTCCCCATCATTTATGGAGAGCTCTAGGATGGAAAGCATAAAACAAATAGAAAACTCAATGCTTTCCATGAGGAATGTGCAGGTATGGTAAGGACTGGATTTAAACAAGTCATTGCTAGTATTAAAAAAGAAAAATCACCATCAAGTCGACTCTGATTTAGGGCGACCCTAGGTGTGTCGGAATAGAACTGTGATCCATAGAGTTTTCAATGGCTAATGTTTTCAAGATGGCTCTGGGTTGACTCCAGCCTCCAACTTGTCAGTTAGCAGCCGAGCTTGTTACCCATTTACACCACCCAGGGACTCCAGCGCTATAACATCTCTGTTATTCCAGTCTACTCCATTCCTAAAATCAGGCTGGATAGCAAATGTCAGTTGGTGACCTATATTTGGTTATTTCCAACAGAAAAATTATAATTAGATTTATAATGATGTAACATTTATAATTTTGTAATAATATGTTTTATTTGTAATAATATACTTTCAATACATCAAAAATAGTTATCCATTTGCTCAAATATCACTAAAATACTCTTAAACGACTCTATAATAATCCAGCAAGGATGTATTTAAGCACTAATACCCACTTTTTTATCCCTGAATGAACTCCACCAGTATATTTGTGTGTGGTGTACATATGAAAACAAACACGGTGGTTTTATTAACACATGGTCTGTTGTTTGCTCGTATTCATGCAGGAATCCTGGGGAAGAGGAGTGAGAAGTTCTATGAGTGCTGCAAAGAGCCGTACCCCGACGTCACCTTCACGGTGACCATGCGGCGCAGGACCCTCTACTATGGCCTCAACCTGCTCATCCCCTGCGTGCTCATCTCCGCCCTGGCCCTGTTGGTGTTCCTGCTGCCTGCAGACTCTGGCGAGAAAATCTCCCTGGGTAAGTACCCGGGGTTTGGCCGAGTCGGAGGCAGGAAGGGTTTTCCGTGAGAGTGAGTCATAGGGTCAGCTTTGGGGGGCTCATTGTGGGCAGTGCAGAGGCAGGCCTAGGGTCCAGTTCAGACGCCCCAAGGGCCCACTTGGCGCATCACACAGCGGCCACCTGGCCCAAGGTGTGTGGCTTGGGGTCTGTCTCCATGACACCAGAATTCCAGGTTTAGGGTCTGTGCTGGACAGTCACAACCTGGAGGGAGAATACTACTGTGCCACAGGGAGTCCCCTTTGGCAGCTGCCTATGGGATCCTGAGTGTGGGGGGTGGGGACACCCAGTGACGGACTGGCTTGATCCTGCTTTAAGGGGCCTCCATTGGTGGTGACTGGCCCCAGTCATTGTGGACAGGGTGCAGTTTAGTTTAATATCACTGCCTTACACAATGTAATTACTTACAGCAATGTCAATAAAGAGAGAAAAAAAGAATTAGGGTGATGAGATCAGTTTTCTCAATGAGTTATTAACAATCATATTTAGCATATGGCAGAATTCATTCTTAAACCATATCTCCTGACTAGTGCGCAGAAATGTTACGTGACTCATCCAAGGTCACATGGCTAGGAAGTTGCAAAGTCAACACCTGAAACCAGATCTTCTGACTAAATAGTTTATTTTTTTCTGCTGTAGGAAACTACCTCTCAGTAATATTGTAATAAAGAAAATGAGATATAAGTGTGTTCAGTTAAACTATTCATTTTTGTGTTCTTTGAAAATTCTGGTTCCTAAACTTGTCTCTACCAGGGGCTACTTCATGAATCTGGTGAGTGTCATGGATTGTCCCCAGAAAAATGCACGTACCCGTGTGTACGCAAGTCATGCACACTGCCTGCAGCCCCTCCCCGGTTCTTTGAATCTCAGCTTGGAGGCCTGCCGTCAGTTTGTCTAAGGAACCGCTGTGTGCTCTGTTTCAGGGATAACGGTTTTACTTTCCCTCACTGTCTTCATGCTGCTTGTGGCTGAGATCATGCCTGCGACGTCTGATTCAGTGCCGTTGATTGGTAAGCCGTGTACCAGGGCTCCTCCCTAAAGGCACGTGGTGAAAGTGTACAGAGTGACCCAGCCTCTGCCCACCTGCCACTGGCTGTGACAGTGAAGGAGGTCCAGTTTTGTGGTTTGATTTTATGGTGCAGAAATGCCCTTTTCCTCCCATACATCTCCTGCTAAGGCTTGCTATGGAGCCAGCGATTTTACCATTAGAGATTCATTATTTAAGCTAGGACATTGTTTTTCTACACATCCCTTATAAAATGGGAGGAACATACATTTTAACTCTTAGCCATTGTTTTCCAAGGAAACTAGACCTCTCCTTATAAAAGAGTTTGCAGAAATGCAACACAGGGCAAATATGTTTTGGCCAGGAGAGGTATAAGGCATGACCCTCTACCCAGGGAGGGAAGAGAGACAGACAGAGCCTTCCTCTGTGTAGAACCCTGGGGATCCAGGAGATGGCATCGTTGTGAGTCAGCACCTTCCTGGACTGGAGTTAATGGGAGCATTCAAAGGATGCTCGGTGGTCTACTGGTTAAGATTCAGTACTCTTACCACTGCAGCCTGGGTTCTGTTCCTGGTCAGGGGTCCCAGACCTCCAAGCTAGCTGAGCACAAGGTTGTGAGGACAAGCAGCAAACGATCTGCTAGTGGATACTGGTTTAATATGAGCATTGCTACTCGCTCTTGGTAGTGGAAATCAGAAACGAGATTGCAGTCTTTTCTTATGCCTGTTCAGCCCGTGCTACGTGAGCACCCATCTTCTGTGCTAATCAAGGGTCGATGGGAGTTGGGGGGGTCTCCCACGGATGCCCCAAGGCTGACTGAACCAAGAGATCCAAGGCTGTCATCTTGGAGCTCCCCAAACCAAACCAAACCAAACCCATTGCCATCGAGTTGCTTCAGACCCATAGCAACCCTATAGGACAGAGTAGAACTGCCCCACAAGGTTTCCAAGGCTGTAAATCTTTACGGAAACAGACTGCCATATCTTTTTCCCACGGAGCGGCTGGGTTGGAACAGCTGACCTTTAGGCTACTGCTGCACCACTAGAGGAGGTGGTCCTTAATTGTGGTGATTAATTACATTGTGATGATTAAACCTTTGGTTGCTAGCCCCTTGAGGGGCTGAGCTCCACGTGGAAGGCCTTCATGCCCAGCTGAGAACCACCCCTGCTCTAGCTAGGGAACAGCTCACAGCCTCCTAGAGAGACCAGATGGTACTGTGGGCAGCTCTCCAGAGGTGTCCACTGGGGACTTAAAGGCAGCATCAGGGTCCTACTAGAATGGGAAAGAGCATGGACCAAACAGTGACACATGGAAGGAGCCAGGGCCATCTCCATCAACAGAGGGCAGCAGACTGATGCCCCTGAGACTGAGCACAATCCCTCCTTTTAGACGTGGGATATGCATCAACCAAGCTTTCCCTGGGGTTCATCCGTGAAGGCAGCACCTGCTGATCAGACCATTAAGGGTGGGCTCTGTTGTAAGTTTACATTGAAAGTAATGTGTTGGAAGGTAGAATAAACGGAGTCAGATGGCCAATTCCAAGTCCCTCGCTGTCTGGATGGTACCAAGAAAAATGGGACACCCTCAAAGGTTTTTTGTATCAACAGTTTCTCTGGCCAAAATATCACACATATAGGTAGCTCCACAAGGAGTCCTCGTGGTGCAGTGGTTAAGCACTCAGCCACTAACCAAAAGGTCGGTGATTTGAACCTACCAGCCGCTCCACTGGAGAAAGATATGGCAGTCTGATTTACAGCCTTGGAAACCCTATGGAGCAGTTCTGCTCTGTCCTGTAGGGTTGCTATGAGTCAGAATCGACTTGACGAAATTTTTTTTTTTTTTTCTGGTCCTCCACTCAAAGCTCTGTACTAGATCCTTGACCCATGTAATCTCTAATTCCTACACCAACCCTGCAAGGAAGGGGTTTCCATCCCTGTTCTCCTGGGGGAGATTGTGAGGCCCAGAGAGGCTCAGAGTAACTCGTCCAAGCTCAGAGATGGCTGGCAGTGGACCAGGGTTGAATCTCTTTCCAATGTACCATGTTGCTCCTCATCTGGGATGAGATACTTCACAGGATGTGACTGGTGGAGGGACATACCCTTCCTTGTTCATGTGGCTGAATCTGATGTTCTCACTCTGAAAAGGTTATTGCTGCCAGATTTTTCTTGGCTGGACAGCTAGCCTCCCCAAATGTCTCTATAGGGAGCCAGGCTCTTTCCAAGACGCATACCCTAAGGATCAGGGGCTGATAAGACATCCAGGTGCTACCTCAGGTTTTCCCTGGTTATACCCAGAGCCCCTGCTCAGCCTGCAGTAGTCACAGTGGAGACCACACCCTCACTGCCCAGGTGTTTTCAAGTTAGAAACATTCCAGTGTTTTCTGATGGGAACAATCCTGTCAGACCAGGAAGTTTGGGCTCACCGAGTAGACTTTGCTCTTCCAGGCCTCTCTGCTGGATGGAAGTCACCTGGGCTGCAGAGCCAGTGGGAGGAGGTCCTGCCCTGCTCTAAGGCCTGGTGCACCTGAGTCCCGGGCAGTAATGGATACAGTGGGGTCCACCTGTCCGGTGGGGTTTGGTGCTGCAAGGCTCCCTTTGGGTCTCACCTTACGTCTGTTCTCTCCACAGCCCAGTATTTTGCCAGTACCATGATCATTGTCGGCCTCTCTGTCGTTGTGACGGTGATCGTGCTGCAGTACCACCACCATGACCCTGACGGGGGCAAGATGCCCAAGTGGGTACGTCCCTGCCCTGTGTGCAGGTGCCATCTGAGCTTACCTGCCAGGCTCTGCGCACTTGACCACAGCCAAACCACTCGAAAGTGCAGACTGTGGCCAGGCACATGGGGTTTTTGTTTGTTTGCTTTGCAGATTTTGAAAATAGAATGTGATATTAAATGAATATCATTAATTATCTATTTTAAAAATCACCCAGAAACCTATCATTCCTAACGAAATAGCCTCATTTTTATGTGAGTTCACCTATCTTTGCACAGGGTACATTTATGGGGAACTTAGCATCCCATGGTACCTTTGTTTATTTATTTATTTTTATCTAACATTCAGGGCAGATTAACCAGTAAGCAAGGTACGCACAGGCTTGTGTTTACTTACTGTCTTAGTCATCTAATGCTGCTACAACAGAAATACCACAAGTGGATGGCTTTAATAAAGAGAAATTTCTTTATTCACAGTAAAGTAGGCTAAAGGTCCAAATTCAGGGCATCAATCAGCTCCAGGGAAAGAATTTCTCTCTCTGTCAGCCCTCTCATCAGTCTTCCCCTGGACTAGGAGCTTTTCCATGTACAGGGACCCCGGGTCCAAAGGACATGCTGTGCTCCCAGCACTGCTTTCTTGGTGGTATGAGGTCCCCCTGTCTCTCTGTTCACGTCTCTCCCTTGTATCTCAAGAGATTGCCTCAGGACACATTCCAATCTTGTAGATTGAGTCCTGCCTCGCTAACACAACTGCCGCCCATCCTCCCTCATTAACATCATAGAGGCAGGATTTACAACATATAGGAAAATCACACAATACCAGGAATCGTGGTCCAGCCAAATTGATACACACATTTTTAGGGGGACATAATTCAATCCATCACATTCCACCCAATGACCCCCCATAAATCACGTTCTTACAACATGCAAAACATACTTACCCCATCATATCATAGCAAAAGTCTTAACTCCAAGTCCAAAATCCAGAAATTCCTCTTTCATCAGTAAAATCTAGATTACAGGTTATCTGCTTCCAAAGGCACAATGGCAGAGCAGGCACAAGCTAGACATTTCCATTACAAATGGGAGAAACTGGAGGAAAAGAAGGGATAACAGGCACCAAGCAAGTCAGCAGAACATATTACATTAGCCCTCAAGGTTTGAAAATAATCTTCTATCCTCTGAGACAATTTACACAATGGCCCTGCCCTCCAGACTCTAGGTATTGGTCACTCTCTTCAGACTGAGTGGAGGCCCCTTGGCCCTGAGCTTCAGCTCCGCCTTCCGGGCCCACTGGGACAGCAACTCTGCTCCCTCGGCTTTAGGCGCACCATTCTCCTAGTCCATCTGGGTGGCAACTCTACCTTTAGAAGTGCCAGAGGCCATGGCTCCACCCTTTGAGACCCCAGAGGTCCTGGCCATACCTTTTGATACTGAGGCAGCTTGGCTTCTTGTGTTCCTTGTCTTTTCAGCTTCTGCTTCTGCTTCCTGTGGCCTCTCAGCCCTCAGGCCCCACACCTGCATCTGCCCTGCTGGTGCAGGTGTTCCAAAGCATGGTAGCTCCACCAGTAAGTGCCCGGAGGCACTCCACTCCACCAGGAGGCCTCCTGTGCACAGGCACTCAGCTCTCTAGCTCCGTGGGTTGGCTCCAGCGCCATCTTGCATTGGTCTTCTGGTTCTGCTGCTGCTGCTCCTCTATCCATTCACAGTTTTAAAACCGCTTCCACATTTTAGGTATCTGTTAGAGCAGCACCCCACTCTCTCAGGACATAATTCAATCCATGACACTTACTAACCTGTAGTGCACAATTTCACATGGGTTTCACCACATCTTCCCCATGTGTATGTTTCTCCTTCTGTTTTTTAAAGACACCAATCATTTAGAATTGGGGCCCACCCTACTCCGATAAGACCTCATGTTAACTGATTAGTTCTGCAAAGACCCTATTTCCAAACAAGGTCACGTACACAGGTACGGGGTTAGGACCTCAACCTATCTTTTTGGAGGACACGGTTGAATCCACAACACTATCCATCTATCTGTTTGAAGTAGGTAATACACCGACATGTTTCAAAAGCTATAATCAAAGTTATCCGTAAGAAAGTCTGGCTCCAACTCCCACCTCTCCCCGTGCTTCCTCAACCGCTGTGCAGAACTGCTTTTAGTGATTCTTGCTTTTCCTTCCCAGAGTTTATTCATGCAAATACCAAAAAAATATAAACAAATATCTTGTTTCTGAAAAGTATTTTACTGATTTTAAAGTAAGAGAATTAAGACATGAAGACACAAAACCATTTTTAATGACCTGGCAGCACTTTACTGCTCCAGAAAAATCTTACTTAAGAGCATATGCTAATTAGTCACCTCTCAGCATAAGAGCATGTTAAAATTGATAGCTGCAAATGAAATAAGAACTTGTGCATCTCTTTCATTATATGTCACACTACATTTTTCTTTTTCTGTGTACTTGAGGCATAAACAACCTCCAAGGAACTTTTATTATTATGATCTGTTGGATGCGGTGGTATTAAGTGACATTTGCACAGCAAGAAATAAGACTGTAACCTAACAGAGGAGGTCATGAGCAGTTTGATAAGTGCCAAGAGGATAATCTCATCTTTTGAGCTGCTTTATCCTTGAAAGCTAAAGATTCAGGCCATGGAGAGTAAAATGGGCTTGGCAGCATGGATCATCTTAGCTTGTGATGTGCTCCAGGAGGTGTGCAGTCCCCACGTGGGAGGAGAAATGTCAGGTCCGTGCTCAGCTCTCCTCTGCTCAGCCCCTCTGGGTTCCGTCTCACTTGGTTCTGGGATGTGCTCCCTCAGACATTCTCATGTTTGGTCCCTGGTTTTTCTGGACCATCTGAGTGTGAGTTGAGCTAAAATCACAGGCGTTTTGAAGAGAACTGTGTAGACCCTTTTATAGATGAGGTTGTAGAAGTCTAAACACATTAAGTGACTTAACTACTTCCTCCCTGTCGTAGTTTCCTGGTGCTGCCATCTCAATGTCACAGGTTTGTGGCTTTAAAGAACAGGAATGTATTTTCTCACAGTTCAGGAGGAAAGAAGTCCAAATTCAGGGCTTGGAAATGGTGATAATCCTTCTTTGTCTGTTTCAGCTTCCAGCAAGTGTGTCAATCCTTGGCTTTCCCAGTCTTGAGATACTTCTGCGTTTGTGTCTGTCTTCAAATACTGTCATCCCCCTGGGCGTGTCTGTTCTGCTGTTTGTATATCTCAGAAGGGATTAGGTTTAGAACAACGATGGTATGACCTTATTAACATAACACAAGGAAAACCTTGTTTCCTAACAGGATCACATCCACAGGTATAGGGGCCAGGATTTCAACACATAGTTTGGGGGGACACAGGTCAATCCATAATGCCCACTGTATGGTCTTGAGTCAATGCACTAATCTCTTTGAGCCTCCTTGTCTGTAAAATGAGGGAATTACACCCTCTTCACAGAGCCCTGTAAGGACTGGCTGAGGTACATGAGCCATGTGCCCTGTGTGGGGCCAAACTTGACCTCGGATTCACATGGGCTCTGGTCCTTGCACCTTCCCAGGCTCCAGAGGTTTGTCCATGATGTTGGACAGGATATACAGAGCGCCACCTGTTGTGTAGAGCATACTGTGGAAGAAAGGGTTATCTTTATAGCTGCACTGAAACTCATCTTTCACTTTTTCTTTTCTCGTCTATCTCCAGAGGTGTTGACTGTACTTATTTTTGATAAGATGTCATAAAAATGAGTACTAAGAAATAAAGTGCTGCCAACTTGAACCTCACAACCTCCTCTCTGCATTTAAACCCATTGCCATCAAGTCGATTACAACTCATAGCAACCCTACAGGACACAGTAGAACTGCCACGTACAGTTTCCAAGGAGCACCTGGTGGATTCAAACTGCTGACCTTTTGGTTAGCAGCCATAGCAGTTAACCACTATGCCACCAGGGTTTCCTCTCTGTACTTACAAATGGGAAAATACCTGTGTGTTGCTGATGAGATTTGCCTATACTCAGAAAACAAAGTTAAAATGAAATGAGTGTCTGGATAATTTCACAGAAAGGGCCCACTTTTCAAGTATATATCTAGAAAATATTGCTTGCAAAAAAATGCTTCAGATTTCTTTCTTTTTTTCGATTAGAAGCAAAACTAGTGTACACCCTCACAGTTAATTCTCTTTCTCTCCTTCCATGAATGTAGGCACTTCGTATTTATAAAACACTCTAAACCAGCAGTCAGCAAACTCTGGCTGTCTGGCCAAATCCAGCCCACTAATGATTTTTGTAAATAAAGTTTTATTGTAACACAGCTAAACCTACTCATTTACATACTGTCTGTGGCCGCTTTGCACTACAGCTGCACAGATGAGTAGTTGCAGCAGAGACCTTCTGGCCCACAAAGCCTAAAATATTTACTGTCTAGCCCTTTACAGAAAGTTTGCCAACCCCTGCTTTAGACTTTTCAGTGTACTTCCCCAAACATCATTTATTCATTGTCCATTGCAGCCTCATGTGTTAGGTTAAAACCAAACCAAGCCAAAGCCGCTGCCATTGAGTCAACTCCGACTCATAGTGACCCTATAGGCAGAGTAGAACTGCCCCAAATTTGCCGGGAACCCTGGGTTCTGCTCAACATGACTCCATCAGGGTCAAAAAGACAGAGACCACGCTGGGGAGAATGAAAGGCAACTTTATTGGTTGGCCAAGCAAGGAGACAGTCAGGGCTGTGTGCCGTCCTAGACTGCCTCGCAGGCAGCCTGTTGAGGCAGCCTGTTGAGGCTGGTTTATACAGGCAGGATCAGCTTCAGAATACAAAATGGCACAGGAGCTGAGTGTTTTAGAATGAGTAAGGATTTTCTAAGGCCCGGGTTTGATTCCCCTCGCAGGAGGAAGTTAGCCATTTTTGTTCATTAGCATGTTAGTTCTCCACCCAGGGGTGGAGAATTTACCATGCATGAGACAGTTAATGAGCTAAAGGTTATCTGGAATGCCAAGATGGGGGACAGGACCGGTTTCAGCCAGCCCGTGGCTGTTTCTCTTCAAGGAGATTCTGAGGAGGAAAAGAAAGAACTCCAGGAAATGGGCTGGGTGAGGGTCTATCTTGAGGCTAAGAATAATGGCTATATGGCTCTAGCCCTATCTTACCATAGTGTTCCCAAGGCTATAAATCTTTACTGAAGCAGATTGCCACATCTTTCTCCCGTGGAGTAGCTGGTGGGTTCGAACCACCGACCTTTTCGTTAGTAGCCGAGCACTTTAACCACTGCACCACCAGGGCTCCCTTTTGAGTTAGGTTAGCGGTTCCTAAACTCTCTTGGCTCATGGTACTGTTGCTGTCCCAGGAATTTTTTTTCAGGAGCTCCTAGGTCAAAAGGAAAACTTAACTTTGTTTATTAAGTAGGCCAATGCAAGGTAATGACTATTTATGCCCTAACAACTCAGCATCTGTAGGGCGCAACACAGCCTCTCAAATTTTGAGGTCACAGTTGAGAACCTACCCCTGTTTTCTCTTCCACGTGTACTTTCTTGATACTTGCTTTTTATCAGGAAAACTGTGAAAACCAGCTTTGCAAAGAAAAGGGATGGAGCAATCTAGGGTTGAAACTGAACTACTTCAAGCGGAGTCCAGTGGATGTCACAGGGTTCCCCTTGAAAATTTAAAGTATCCAAGGGCACCCCTGTAAGTTTGCTGTGGCACTCTGGGGCATCTCACTCAGTTTGGGAACCAGAGAGTCAGGTATTGCTGACCTCTGGGTACAGATGAGGAAGGATCAGAGAGAGAAATTGTCTTTCCCTGTTCACACAGCCCAAGGTCTCTCAGTCAAGACAGACTTCTCTGAGATTTCAGTGTGCCTGCTGCTATTGGCTGGGTTGTGGGCTCGTGGAGAAAAATTCATTCACTCCCAGGGTGGTTTTTTGCACTGGTTTTATTCTTATCTCACATTTGTTTCAAAGTTGTAAACAGATGGCCTTGTTTGCTGTATACAGTCAGTTGGGGAGGCAAGAGAGCCTGTCACCCCTGTGATAACATGAAATAGATCTTGTATTGTGGAATCATCTTCCCCTTGCCTTGGTTTCCTAGTGTCCTAGGGTAAAATTACCACAATGTCATAGTAAAGCAAAAAGGAAGGTTGTATTTGGCATATGTTCAAAAGAGGCAGAAGTGGGAAAACGGACAAGCATGCTGCCAGAGCCATGTCTGCCCGAGGCCAAGGAATATTACAGATCATCAGTATATATAGACATTATAAATGCGTAAAATCATTAAAACCTTCGCCTTTTCACAGATTGACTAAAAACGGCCAAATTGCTGTGAGTCTACGTTTTGAATTGTCTTTCTTAACAATCATTGGTACAGGTTTCAGTAATGACAGTCAGGAAGGTCTTCATTGGTCCAGCAAATACTACTGTTTACCAAACGCTAATAGAAAAAGGTAAGAGTGGAAATTATGTGGGTCTTTTGCGTTCTGTTTGATTAGTTTATGTGAAAGGTTCCCTGAAAGATGTTTTTCAAGATTGTCCTAGTTATTGTCTTTATACCTCAGGGCCCAGTTGATGTGTCCTTGTGAGTCCTCTTGAGTCCAAGTCCAGCTGAGTCACATTCTTCATGCTCAAGGGTAGGGAATAATGGCTCCAATTTTATCTCCTAAATCACTAGTGCTGCTGTAACAGAAATATCAGAAATAGGTGGCTTTAAAGAACCAACATTTATTTTCTCACAGCTCTGGAGGCTAAAAGTCCAAATAGGGTCTCAGTTGATTCCCTCGTTGTTGGTAGCCCCTGGCTTCCTTGCCTCGTAGACGATCCTAACAAGGCATTTGTCTTCCCTGTGTGTGTCTGTATCTGTGTCTAATCTGTTCTTTTTATAACTGAGGAGTGATTGGGTTTAGGACACACCCTGCACTGATACGGCCATGTGAATGTAACAAAGAAAACCCTATTTCCAAGTGGATCACATCCAGAGGATGTTGTTGTTGTTGATGATGTTAGGTTCCATCTAGTCATTTCTGACTCACAGTGACCCTATGTACAGCAGAACAAAACACTGCCTGGTCCCGCGCCATCCTCACAATCGTTGCTATGCTTGAGCTCGTTGCAACCACTGTGTCAGTCTATTTCATTGACAGTCTTCCTCTCTTTCACTGACCCTCTACTTTACCAAGTATAATGTCCTTTTCCAGGGACTAGTCCCTTCTGATAACATGTCCAACGTACATGAGACTAAGTCTCACCATCTTCACCTCTAAGGAGCATTCTGGTTGTACTTCTTCTGGCATTCCATTGTATATCAAATAGTGTAATTCAAAGGCATGAATTCTTCTTTGGTCTTCCTTACTCACTGTCCAGCTTTCCCATGCGTACGAGACGATTGAAAATACCATGGCTTGAGTCAGGTACACCTTAGTCCTCAAAGTAACATCTTTGCTTTTCAACACTTTAAAGAGGTCTTTTGCAGCAGATTTTCCCAGTGCAATGTGTTGTTTGATTTCTTGACTGCTGCTTGCATGGGCATTGATTGTGGATCCAAGTAAAATGAAATCCTTGACAACTTCAAGGATTTTCTCCATTTATCATGATGTTGCTTATTGGTCCAGTTGTGAGGATTTTTGTTTCCTTTATGTTGAGTTGTAATCCATACTGAAGGCTGTGGTCTTTGATCTTCATCAGTAAGTGCTTCAAGTCGTCTTCACTTTCAGCAAGCAAGGTTGTGTCATCTGCATAACGCAGGTTGTTAATGAGTCTTCCCCCAATCCTGATGCCCCTTTCTTCTTCATGTAGTCCAACTTCTCCGATTATTTGCTCAGAATACAGATCGAATAAGTATGATGAAAGGATCCAACTGTGAAACACACTTTTCCTGATTTTAAACCATGTAGTATCCCCTTGTTCTGTTCCAGTGACTGCCTCTTGGTCTATGTACAGGCTCCTTACGAACACAATTAATTGTTCTGGAATTTCCATTCGTCTCGATGTTATCCGTAATTTGTTATGATCCATGCAGTCAAATGCCTTTGCATAGTCAATAAAACAGAGGTAAAAATCTTTTTGGAACTCTCTGTTTTCAGTCGAGATCTATCTGACATCAGAATGACATCCTTCATTCCGTGTCCTCTTCTGAATCCAGCTTGAATTTCTGGCAGTTCCCTATCGATGTAGTGCTGCAACCAATTTTGAAGTATCATTAGCAAGATTTTACTGCTTGTGCTATTAATGAATAGGGGTTATAGTTCCAGCACATATTTTGGGGGACACAATTCAATCCATAGCACCCCTATTGGTAGGTGTGCTTCTCTCACGTGGCTGTTGGGATCAGCTAATGCTCGCTTCTTGGCTGCGCCTAACTCTCTTTTGTTTCCGCAGACCAGAGTCATCCTCCTGAACTGGTGTGCCTGGTTTCTGCGCATGAAAAGGCCGGGGGAGGACAAGGTGCGCCCTGCCTGCCAGCACAAGCAGCGCCGCTGTAGCCTGGCCAGCGTGGAGATGAATGCCATGACTGGGCCACCCACCAGCAATGGGAACCTGCTCTACATTGGCTTCCGTGGCTTGGACACTGTGCACTGTGCCCCGACACCTGACTCTGGGGTCGTGTGTGGCCGCATGGCCTGCTCGCCCACACATGATGAGCACCTCCTGCACGGTGGGCAGCCTGCTGAAGGTGACCTGGACCTGGCCAAGATCTTGGAGGAGGTCCGCTACATTGCCAGCCGCTTCCGATGCCAGGATGAGAGTGAGGCCATCTGCAGCGAGTGGAAGTTTGCGGCCTGCGTGGTCGACCGCCTCTGCCTCATGGCCTTCTCCGTCTTCACCATCATCTGCACCATTGGCATCCTGATGTCTGCTCCCAACTTTGTTGAGGCCGTGTCCAAAGATTTTGCTTAGTACACAGATAGGAGATTTCTTGGGCTACATGAGAATCTGGGGTGCTGGTTGCACAGCAGGATTAAACCCACACTTGACCACTCACGTGTGCTTTTATTGCTGCTTATTGATCATGCTGGTTACAGTTTTGTCGTTACTTCTCAGATGGGTTAATTGATACCCTGAAGTGTCCTTGGACCACTGAAAGGTTGTTTGTCAATTCCCCAATTTCTGGTGGGCCCTTCAGAGGTTCCAGGTAGCTAATGCCTGCCAGGGAGGCCTGTGCCTTGGTTTTGCATGCCTGCATGTCACGTGTCACAAAGGCCTACATGAGAATTCAACATATGCTTTTGCCTGTATACAAACCTAGACTGAAAAAAATTATAATAATAAACAGCCAAACTCACTAAATCCATTCACATAATTGACTGGTGAAAGGAGCAATGACAACAGCAAGTACAACAAAAAACCCTAAGACTAAAAATGTGTCTTCTGGTTTTTCTGCAATTCCACTTTTTTCCCTGTCTACCAAAGATATTTTGTACAGAGAAACAGTTTTACACTGTTTCTACATAAAAAACAAACAAAAAATACATAATTAATTCATCTTGCAAACAATGTTTTTTACCAGCCTGTCTAATTCCTGCAAATCTACCCTGTCAAGGGGAGGGATATAGGTTTGTGCTGATTCCCCTGAGTCAGACGCTTGTGTGGATCCCAGATGAGTCCCATGCTTTTTGTGCTGCCCTGGGACACTGGGAAGTTGCATGAGTCTGCTCTGTTCTGCAAAACTCAAAGGATAAGTAGAGTCCTATTAGAATTACCAGCCCAAATAATTGCTAAAGCTACATTAACCATTTATGTGCTTTTTATAAAATAATGCATAGATGCTCCAAACATGTTGAGGTTGACTAGTCTTAGAAATGTGTGGTCCGTACAAATGCAAAATCAAGTGAGAGTATCCCTTAGATTTTTCCTCCATGTGTCAGAGTAGAGTGTGGGGGTACCTCTTCTGGCTCCCTGGATGGCAGGAGCTGGGGCAGCGACAGCTTTCCTGGAAGTCCGGTCAGTAGCAGTCAGCAGGGAGGGGTCGGCAGGCTACCAGTGGCTGCCCAGCCAGGAACGTGGGGTTCTGGCTTGGGGGGATTTGCCCACCACACCCTGTCTACCCTAGCCTCAGCCCAGAAAGCCGGCTCAGGGTCAATGGGTAGACTCACTGGGAGCGTGTGTTTTGAAGACAAAGGAAACATTGATTTTTAACCTTCAGTGAGAACACAGTTCTTGGCCCAGGTTATCTTGCTGACAGTAGTCACTTTGCCTCTTCCCATTCTTCTTATTTTTTAACGAGAGCAGAGAGTAATTCTTCAAGGCAATCTCTTCTGTTGTGTTGTGTCATCTAGCAACTGCTCAGAGCTCAAAACAGCAGAAGGCTTCTTAGCTCCTAGGGTTTTTAATCTGCTTCTAACACCTGAGATGGGTACATCAGGAGGGAAGATCGGTTAGACTCTCAGAACAGAAGAATTGCGTATATTTCTCCATCCATTTATTTCACTCGTGTGGGTAGTGCACATGAATTCCTTTGCACTAAATAAAGATGGAGTTTTGTGGTGTGTGTGTGTGTGTGTGTGTGTGTGTGTGTGTGCGTGTGTGTGTGATATAAGAGAGGAGGCCTAGAGGAACTTCTTTACAAGATTGATAAAAGGGCATTTCAGCAACAGCCTTTTGGGGCAGGGTCAGCCTCAGAGTTCACCCATTCTACATAGTATGGATGAGGGATGTACAATAGTTTCTTTGTTTTCTATTACAGTGTCCTTAGAATCAAGTAGAAGCGTTTTCATACATAAAGAGATGGCTTCATTTCTAATGGTTACCAAAAATTGATCCCTACCACATTTTTGCTTAACAAAAAACTTTTCTGGTTTTGTATTTTATATGGAAAAAATATAAAAAGCAGACAACAGCAGTTCATGTTTTGACCACCAAGTAACTACTCTGTCATTTAAATAATAATAAGGAACAGATATAGACATAGTTAGAAAAGTGTGAATGGCTAAAAAAACAGTCTCCTACACTTCCTGTCTTCTCTCTTCTCAGGGGACACTGGTGAGCTTCTTGGGTACACTTCCAGAAAGGAGAGGAGAGAGGCAGAAAGAATGAGGGAGGGAGGGAGGGAGGCATCCTTTTCTTGCACTCAAGCTCTGCACAACACTCTGCACCTTGCTTTCTTCATTTAGTGTTTCATCTTAGAGATCTTTCTGTAGGAGCATATAAATATCTACCTCATTCTTCTTAATAGCTGCTTAGCATTCCATTGCCTCAATGGACCATATTTTATTGATCTTTTACTGCTGAATATATGAAATATTCCCAGTTTTTATACATGAACCTATAATTAGCATCCTTGTACATATATCTCGGCATACTCTCTTGACTGTGTCTTGGAATAAATTGTGACTTGGAAATGCTAGATTGAAGGTTATGTGCATTAAAAATTTTGATAGGTATTTCCAGATGGTCCTTGAAAAACCCACCAAGAGTACAATGAACAGGTGTATTTCTTGACTTTCTCAGCACTAAGTATTATCAGATTTAATTTTTTCCCCATCTGATTGGTGAAATATGATATTGCATTAGTATTCTGATTTTAGTTCCTTTAATTATGAGTGAGTTTGAACATTCTTTCAAATGCTTTTTGGTAATTGTATTTTTTATAAATTTATGTCTTTTACACAATTTCAATTGGGTTATTTGGCTTTTTTCTTAATTTGCCTGTGCACTCTGGACCTTTCTTTTATCTTGAAAATATTTTTTATTTTCATTTGTCCTTTAATGTTATTTATTAATCTGCTTATTTATTGGCATACAGAAAGTTGTAATTTTTATGTTGTCAATTTGTATTTTTCCTTTGTAGATCCTGGGATTTGCTTCCAGTTTATAAGGCATTCCCCACTCTGAGAATATAAATAAATGTACTCATATTTTCTTCTAAAACTTTCATGGTTTCATTTGTTTACTTTCACATATTCTAACTCTCTGGAACTCATTTATTATAGGAGATGGAGGCAAAAATCCATCTTATTTTCTCCAAACGATAGATCAGTTGTGCCAACAAGGCATATGATAGTGCATTTCTATAAGACATTTGTAATTATTCCCCACTTATCAAAATGCCACCTTATTTGTGAATTAAGTTCCGTTAAGCATTTGGGAGTATTTCTGTTCTATAAATGCTTTGTTTACTGTAGCTTTATTCATATTCTGTAGCTTTATTCATATTAATATTTGATACTTTAAAGTCGATGCTACCCTCAAAACACACACATTCACACAGGAACTTTTTTGATTGGGTTCACAATGAATTTATAGATTAATACAGGGAAAAACTGACATTTTTAAATAACTGAATCTTCTTATACAAGACCACTGTAATCTGGACTTTTATTCAGTCTAATTTTATGTCACTCAGTGGAGTTTTATGGTTCAGACGGGTCCTATACATTTCTCATTTATTTGCAGGTGTTTTATCATTCTGGCTACAATTTTCAGTGGAATCATTTATTTTCTAACTGGGTGTATGGGAAAGCAGTTTATCTGTATATACTAGTGTCATAATCAGCCACCATAATGGGGATTTCTTATTGTTCTACCATCTTCTGTTGCCTCCTCCTTTCCAATATTTCCCTTCTCCTTTATCGTAGCCAATTGTATCGAACTACCATTTTGAGAACAGCGTTACTGAATAGTGGGTGGTTCAGGAGGCTGACTTGTCTTGTTCTTGACATTAATGGGATGTTTGAATGTCTCACCATTTAACTTGTATGAAGACATGTATTTTCTTTGTCATAACAAAAAAGTATCCTAACTATTCTCTGTTAGGCTTTTGGGGAAAAATTTCAAGTTGGTGTTAGGCTTTTGTGAAAGCCTTTTCAATATCCATGGAGATGATATGGTTTCCCCCTTTGCTCAAGTCATATATTTTATTAATAGATTCCTTAAGGCAAAACTGCTATTACATTCCTGAGGTGACTCCTATTTGGTTTTAGGATTTTTGCTGCCAATACTCATATTGAGATTTACAATTCTTCAGCTTACTTTTTTGTGCTATTTCTCCAGTTATTTTTTAAAAATTTTATGCTGACTGAAAAAATGGAAACAAACAAACAAATCTTGATGTTCTGCAACCTTTTGCTTGGTCTGAGAATTATCTTCTACTTAAGAGGAAAGGGAGTCCCTGGTGGTGTAAACAGTTAAGCACTTGGCAACCTAAGTTGCCAATTCAAATCCACCCAGCGGTGCATCTGAAGAAAAGCCTGGTGACCTGCTTCCAGAAAGCCACAGCCTTTGAAAAAACCTGTGGATCACAGTTCTACTCTGACACACATCAGGCCACCATGAGTCTGAATTGACTTGGCAACTTTTTTCTTTTTTTTTTTTAGTGTAAAACGACTCAAAGACTCAGTGGAAGGCTGTGTGGGAGGCACTGGTGCAGGTCAGGCCCTGGAGCACTGCTGGAGTTGTTTGCGGTTGCATATTTTCCTAGAAAATTACTTTCCATCCAGATTTCCTTATGTTTGCATAGTTGTACAATACAGGCTAAGAATTTAGCCTCTTTTCAATTTCCTCTGTGTTGTTTTTCTCCCTTTTTTGTTTCTAATTATGTGTATTTCTACTTTCTTCTCTTTTTATCAATTTGGCTTTGCAGTGGTTTTACTTTTAGATTTTCAGCACCTGACTCTTAGACTTACTGCTTGGGAAGTTGGCTGCCAGCTGCTGGTGCCCTCACTGAGCAGACCCAGACTTCCAGGTGAGGGCAGAAAGGAGTTTAAGCTGCAGCTGCTGGGGTGCTGCCGTCTCTTGCAGGTTCCACGGCCATGAGACGGCGCTACCCTTCCCTCCATAGGGATACCTGTGGGTTACACCCTGAAGGCAGCCCAGGTGTGTCATCTCACTCACTGTGACCGTCAGTTGTTAGGTGCCATAAGGTCGGTTCCTATCATAGCAACCCCATACACAACAGAACAAAACACTGCCCGGTCCTGCACCATCCTCACAATCATTGCTATGTTTGAGCCCATTGTTGCAGTTACTGTGTCAATCCATCTTGTTGAGGGTCTTCCTCTCCTTTGCTGACCCTCTACCAAACATGATGTCCTCTAGGGACTAGCCCCTCCTGATAACATGTCCAAAGTACGTGAGACGAAGTCTCACCATCCTTACTTTTGGGAACAATGTATTCTCTACTATTTGTAATATTTATAATTATCGAGGGTTTTTTTTTTTAGGCCTAGTATATGATCAGTTTGTGTGAGTCCTTCCAGAGTAAGCCTAGATCTACATCTGGGGGTCCTGTCCTATTAGTGAGAGCACTGTTCCCCCTTCCCAACTTCCTTCCCTCCTTACTGCTTTGGTCTACTGGCTCAGCCAGAGCCTGGCAGGAGGGGCCTACATCCTAATCAGTGGTAATTCTCTGGGAGATTTTATGTGTAATTGATGTGTCTTATTGCTCTATAGTTCCTGTGGTATTCGTAAACTTTTCCTCTGTATCAGTAATTTCATTTTTTGGCGTAGTCAGTCTATTCTCTTCCTTACTGTTTCCAGGTTTTTAAAAATTTTTTTTAAAAATTTTTTAGTGTGTTCTACTGCAATAGTGTTATTTTGATCCTTCATTTGTTTTTAAAGCCCTGCAATTTCCTTTTGATTTTATTATTCTAGTTTTATCCTTTAGATTTTATTTTATTGAAATTTCTCATTAACTGAGACTAGAAACTCAACATCCTGACACTGCTTTTATTTACCCAAATGTATTTTTCCTGACTACCTTGGGAATGTCAGGGGAATGGAGAACAGTGCCTTGTCTTCCAATATCTGGAATGAAAGGGACCCGTGGCTTGACCACTATCGTTTTAGCTTCAGGGTAGGACTTTTGTCACTAGTAGGCGCTGTCTTCATTAGCTGTCAATTAAAGTTTTTGGCTGAAACTGTTTTGCTTTTCAAGGGTTAATTCTTCAATACCATGATTCTTGAGATACCTGTGGTCCCTAAAACTGCTTTTTGTTGGGGGCGAGGGTGGAATCAGCTGAGGACAAATGTTCTGAGGGCCACACAGACAGAACTCCCCATGAAGTGTTGTAAGACTGTGTCAAGGCACCACAGGAAGAATAACCTCAGGTGGCTGGTGATCAGCAGCCCCTCCCTACAGCACCTTATGGCTTGCACGAACGTCCCGCACTCTCTCCCTCTACAGAGTGTCTGGTGCAGTGATTAAAAACCACTGCCTCAGGTCAGCAGCCTTCACCCCAGAACCCAACTCTGCCTACACTGAGTGACCTCAAGTACCCCATTCACCTTCTCTAGATCCCTGTTTCCTCCTCTTTCAAGAGGAAGGCGTGAATAACAGTACCTGCTGAGACAAAGTCTAGGGTAGAGGCTGGAATGCAGAAGCACTCAGAAAACATCAGCCAGATATATTCTTGTTTTTAAAGGCTTTATGACAAACAAACTTCCAGCCTTGTCATGACATTCATTTCTAGTTGAACAGAAGCTTCATTGTCAAACTCCTCCTGCCACCATTGACAATGAATCGGTAACACATTCTCTAGTGAGAAAAGCAAAGCTGGTAGAGACCATGTTAGTTGTCTCTTCCTTCGAGATATTTTCTGGGATCCAGATACTGAAGAGCGCATGTTAAGAATCAAGTTATACATCAGAGAGGTGCTTTGGCAATGAAGTCCTGGAAAGAAGGGAGGAAATGTCACACATGAAAGGCACTAAAAACCATGCCTATGATGAATGTCTGTTGGATGCCTACTATGAGGTAGACACATTCAGAGATGAAAAGGGGGAGAACTATCCCCAGTGGAGCTTAGGCCTAGTAGACAGCCTGGTGGACTAGTAAGTACACAATGACACAGTGATATAGGGTATCTTAGTCTCCTAGGACTACTTAACAAAATGCTACAAACTGGATGTTTTATAAGAAGAGAAGTTTATTGTCTCACAGTTCTGGGTATTAGGAGTCAAATTCAGTGTGTGGGCTGGGCCGTGCTCCCTCTGAAGGCTCACGGGGAAGATCCTTCCTTGTCTCTCAGGCTTTCCTTGGCCTGCAGCTGCAGCATCACTCCATCACCACACAGCCATTCTTCCGCTGTCTGTCTCTCTGTGTCTCTTCTTTTTTTATAATGACATCACTCATATTGGATTAGGAACCACCCTACTTTATTATGACCTCAAGTGAACTTAACTGGTAAATATTCAAAGACCCTCAGATCACATTTATAGGTGCTAAGTGTTAGGACTTCAACATAAACTTTGCGGTACAAATTCAATCCATAACACAGGGTGAGTATGACAAGAGGTGATGATCTGGGACCATGGGGCAGAGATAACAGGGTCATGCAAGTCCCCCCAGAAGCATCCACGGACTGCCTGGCTGGGAAGCATGAATGGCAGTTAAACCAATGAGGAGAGTTGGAGTGGGCAAGGGTGGGCAGGGACAGTAGTGTGACACAGCCCACTGTCCAGATGTGTTACCACAGCATGGAGCTGAACATGGAAGATGACCCTCAAAGGGTCACTGGGTCAGGATTCTAAGTTGTTTCCCCTAAGAGCAATGGGAGCCATTCAAGGTTTTAAGTAGGGTGTGGCATAATCCTTTTTGTCTTAGGTTCTTGAAAAAATACTGTGGGTATAGTATATTTTTCCCTCCCTTCACAGATAATGGGCCCTAGAGGGCATTTGTTGAGTGTTTTGATGGGAGACTGAACAAGTTGAAACCAGGAACTCAATTCCTTTAAGGTGGTGTCCTTAAAGTGACATCTTTGCTTTTTAACACTTTAAAGAGGTCTTTTGCAGCAGATTTGCCCAATGCAATGCATCATTTGATTTCTTGACTGCTGCTTCCATGGGTGTTGATTGTGGATCCAAGTAAAATGGAATCCTTGACTACTTCAAGGCTCAGATAAGATGTAGAAATGAGGCCAGAAATGTGAACATAGAAAGAGTGATCAACGAGGTAGAAGATGATGGCAAGTACAATAATCACCATAAATCAAAATCCCTACTTTCTACCTCTCTGCTCTGACACCAGAGGATACGCAGCACATGTCCCTCTAACCGTAACCACCCAGAGCTAGGTTAGATCTCACAAGTGAAAGGACACAGTCCCTCAGACTGCCAAGTAGGACCAAGACTTCAGATGTCAGCCACAAGTGCAGGAGTCCCCAGGGTCCCCTTCACATATGACCTGCTGGCTACAAATTCAGGGGTCCCTCTACCTCTCAGGATGACAGCTATGATCTCAGGGGTCCCCAGGGCCCCCCTCTCACCATGACAGCCATGATCTCAGGGGTTCCCAACCCCATCACTTCTGACCTGCTGGCTCCCACTACTCCCTTGAGTTCAATGATTCACTGGAATGACTCACAAAGCTCACAGTCAGAAAGCGCTGTACCCACGATTCCTGCTTTGTTATTAAGGATGTAGGTCGGGATTAGCATAGAGAAGAGGCACACAGGGTGAGGTCTGGGAGGATTCTCATGCAGAGCTTCCATGTTCCAAAAGGGATGCGCTACCTGCCCATGTGCATCAAGGTCTTTCACCAACCAGGAAGCCCATGGAGATTCTGTGTCCAAAGCTTTTATTGGGGGTCTCACTATGTAATGCAAACTCCAGCCCCTCTCCCCTGATGTCGAGCAACATCACAAGGTGATCTCGTGGTATTATGTGATGGGTCTTTCTGCCCTGGCCAGCCCTACTCCAGAGTCACCTCATCACCTCACTGGCATGACCTATTAGTTAGGTGGGGTCGGGAGTCCCAACCAAAAAACAAACTAGGTGCTGTGGAATTGACTCCAACTCATGGCAACCCCACGTGTGTCCATTGTGCTCCACTGGGTTTTCAATGGCTGATTTTTTGGAGGTACGTCACAGGCCTTTCTTCCAAGGTGCCTCTGGGTGGACTTGAACCACCTACCTTTTCGTTAGCAGCTGAGTGCTGTAACTGTTTGTGCCACCCATAGACTTAAATTCCAAAGTTGTTTTAGAGATTATCTCTCAGAAACCCAATGCAAAGACCAAATTCTTTGGGTAAGGTTAACATCAACCCCACAGTGGTCGACTGCTAAATGGAGTTAAAAAAAGAGCTCTAAGGTGTAACAGAGGGAGCAACTAGAGAAAGCAGCTGCCCAGCCTGACAGGGAGAAAAGGGTTGAGATTTCTATTTCTTCATTTGTTTCAAGAGAAAATGTCATTGATTGTTGAAGCATTTTTATAACAGCTACTTTAAAATCCTTGTCAGAGGTTCCATATCTCGTTCATATTGGTGCTGGTGTCAGCTGATAGTCTTCTCTCATTCAAGGTGTGATTTTCTTGGTTCTTGGTATGATGGGTGATTTTCAATGTGTCCTGGACACTGTGTCTATTATGCCAGAAGACTCTAGGACCTACTTAATTCTTTTATTCTTATAGGCAGTCACTGTGTTTAGGTTTAGCACACAGGGCCTGGCTTATTTTGTGGACTATTTTCTAATGACAGTTTAATTTTCAGTCTTTGCAGCGCTATTTTGGTCAGCTTGGTTTCTCAGGTGTCTCACTGGCCTGAGGGGCTGAAGGGGTTTCCCCGTGCCTGTGGGCCCATCTCCCAGGGGACGGGGAGGCTTATGCCCACTGGATAAAGAGGCTTCCCTGAGCTGAAAGCTTCTGGTGGAGGGTCCCCCTGTGGGTAACTCCCCACCCTGCTCTTTCTCTGCTGGGGAGGGGAGCCTCGTGAGTAAGGACAGTGCTGCTCATGGCCGCTTATTGTTGGCAAGGCTCCGGCCCCATCCCTCTTCCTTCTGGTTGGGCTCGCCCACCCAGTGTTGTCAGAGGGAACGCGTTTCATCCAGGGGAGAATAGCCCACCTAGCTGCCTTCTGTTGCTGGGCTGGGTCGGAAACACTTGGTCTGGGTCCTCCTCCTTCAGGGGTAGGGGAAGGCAAAACTCTTACCTCCTGTGTTGTTCTCCAGCCTTGGGGTCCCAAACTAGCTCCCCTTCTTCTTACCACCTTCCAGAGTCCTCCTCTGGTTATCTCTTGAGTTTATTTCCAGTTCTATAATTGGGCTTTGGAGTCCCTGGGTGGTGCAAACAGTTAACACGCTTGGCTGCTAACTGAAAAGTTGTAGGTGCGGATCTGCCCAGAGACACCTTGGAAGAAAGGCCTGGCAATCTACTTCTGAAAAATCAGCCATTGAAAACCTTACAGAAGACAGCTCTACTCTAACACACATGAGGTCACCCGGAGTCTGAGTCGACTCCTTGGCAGCTGGTTACTGGTATGATTTTACAGAGAACAGCAGGGAGCAATGTGTCCGCCCACCTCGTAAGGACCTGAAGTAAGGGGTGGCATCCTCCACCTTGGACAGGAACCGTCCTTGCTGGAGGAGGCTGCACTGTGCCCAGAAAGTGGGGCCATTGGGGAACAGCTCGTGGAATAAAGGACATTTTAAGATGTTGGCTAGATATTGGTGGAGACAGATGGACAGCCCAGCTAAGGGGAATGCCGTGAGTGGGGCCACTGAAGTGGTAGGCACCTGGCACGTTTGGGGATGGGAGGTGCCTAGACAGAGGATGAACACAGCCTCTGTTTCTGCTGGGAAGGCCTCTGGGGGCTGCAGCACTGCCATGTACATGTTTGGATGTTGCATACTGTGAGCAGTCTTTAGCCCAAGACTCCTTATTAATTTTCCATTCTTCACCCCATGATTTGAAATATTGTATCGAATTGCTTTAACTTGATACTATAGTAATATTTGAAGTATGATAAGGTCAAAAGAGAATAAAGAGCGGGAGGTTGGAAACGTTTTTAAATTTATTATACTCACAGTCCCTGGTATTCACAGCACTCCACCAGACGACAGCCCCTGGTGTTCACAGCACTCCACCACGCGGGACCACTAAGGAAGAGGGTGTTTGCACCAGGGACAGAGTAACAACAAACTGTAGTTGTACGAGACAGCTTATATATGACAACCAGGGTGTGGTTAGCTAGGTTTCACAGGCTTTCTGGGGACTGGATATTTTGAATAAATCTCCAGACTCAGGGGCATAGAGGTTGCCCCTAGTTGTTGGGTACCTGGCTCTGGGGCGATTAGGGCAGGTGCATAGTGGCCCCAGACTGTGAGAACCCAGTAGGGGTGTTGTTGGAGTGTGGACATAATCAGCTGCTCATGAAGGGGAACTGACCGGCTTCTAGACAGAGCCTCAAACTGGGTCAAGATGGTATTTATGAAATATTATATTACACAAGTTAACTATTTTCCAGGGTTTTAAAAGAAATAAATTTAAAGACACATTCGATAACAATCTTGCAATAAACAATATAACAATATTACAGCAAGTAGTACTAAACTTAGTCATATTTTGAACTGACTTTTTTGTACTCTTATGAGAACAAGGAAAGTAACCCCCAACATGCAGGAGCGGGCCTGGCACTCATGGCTGGGCCTCGGGGCTCTCCTCTCCTGGTGATGCAAAAATTTCCCAGAATATCAGCGTCAGGCAAGGCCACTCTGTGGCCATGGTAGATCGAGACAAGAATGAACTCACTTGTGGCTGAACACAGACAAAGCATGAACATTGTCAAACTATAAAATTGACTAAGCATGCCCTTTTCCCAGCTGGTATGAGTGACTGCTACTGCTTTGGCAATTAAGACTGCTGCTTCAATCTAGTCTTCCCTCCTTCTAGATGAGATGTATTCAGATACCCAATCATAGCATCAGCCTGCTTCCTGTCAGCATCCAATTCAGAGCAAAGCCCACTTTCTGGACCCCTTTCAAAATCACCCAACACAAGCCCAACTCCTACACTAAGTCCTATCTAACACCCTCTAAGCCACTCCACTGTCCCAGAGGTGGACATGGTATGTGCTCTCAACAAGTAATAAACTCAAAGTATTCAACTGCACGTGTTCCTGGGGCACTATCTCAGTCATCTAGTGCTACTATAACAGAAATAGCACAAGTGGATGGCTTCAACAAACAGACGTTTATTCTCTCGCAGTCTAGGGGGCTACAAGTCCAAATTCAGGACGTCACCTCCAGGGGAAGGCTCTTTCTCTGTCAGCTCTGGAGGAAGGTCCTTGTCATCAGTCTTCACCTGGACTAGGAGATTCTCAGGCACAGGTACCCTAGGTCCAAAGGACATGTTCTCCTCCTTATTGCTTTCTTGGTGGTATGAGGTTCCCCATGTCTCTCTGCTCACTCCTATCTTCTATATCTCAAAAGAGATTGGCTCAAGACACAACCCTATCTTGTAGATTGAGTCCTGCCTCAGCATAACTGCCACTAATCCTATATCATCAACATCATAGAGATACGATTTACAAAACAGAGGAAAATCACATCAGATAACAAAATGGTGGACAATCACATAACACAGAGAATCATGGCCCAGTCAAGTTGACAGATATTTTTGGGGGACACAATTCAATCCATGACAAGCATTTTGGTGGTCTTTGGCTGGAGGGAATTTTCAGTTATAATATATTCAGATAGTATTGATGGGCTGGATGGAGTTCTTGGGTTGTACAAATGGTTAACACACTTGGCTGCTAACCAAGAAGTTGATGATTTGAATCTATCCAGAGGCACCTCAGAAGAAAAGACTGACAATCTACTTCCTAAAATCAGCAATTGAAAACCCTAAGAAACCCACTTCTACTCTGACACACATGTTGTTGCCATGGATGGCAACAAGTACTGTTATTGGGTTAATTTACATCAGGCCTTTTGAAATATTTAAAACAGCTGACATATTCCAGCCCCAACCAGCCACCCAACACTTCGAATATTATACTCTTCACTAAATCCTAGGATTCTGGAACACTCAGACTTCTAACTTCTGAGCTAAGAAAACGCTTGCATGTTTTGTGGTGTGTGACTAAGTTCATGGAAGAGTAACTTCATAAAAGTGAGAGCTGTGTTTTCTTCATTCATTAATCTCATGATCCTATAAGTGACTAGTGAGAACTACCCAGGCTTCTCAACTCTCCTTCCCAGCTCTCCTTCTTTTTGTCTCTAAAACATACACTCCATTAATTTTCAATTACTCTTTATTTGCATTCAAAGAACATTTTTTCTGGAACAAAAAGGACATTGTAAAGAATGTTCACCACCAGTCTATTCACTGGATTGTACACAAATCGTTAACTTCACACATATATTAGAGTAGCAATAAAATAAACAAAACCAAGCAATAAATAAATAAGTGAAGGTTTACTTTAAATGTCTGGTTGCAGAATTTTGGCAAAGGCTCTCAAGGGTGTTCAAAGCCAGTGGCTCCTGCACATAAGGGGCCCTTTGGCACATATGCATGAATAAAGACAGCACAGCCCCTGAGTCTGGAGTTGATGATGGAGTAGGAATGATTCAGGAAGTGTTATCAAGTTTGCACAGCTCCTCTTTTCACCTATCCAGGAGTATAAGGCATGTAGAAGACTGTCTTCTGCACACATTCAACATATGTGTACCACTGGATGTCCCTGCCTTCCTGGAATTCATGGTGTGAGCATACCCTCTAAATAATCCACCACTTCACCTCATTTACATGGCAGTGGTGGTTCAGTGGCAGACTTCACACCTTCCTGGCAGGATACCTGGGTTTGATTCCCTGCCAATGCACTTCATGCACAGCCACAGCCCATCTGTCAGTGGAGGCTTGCATATTGCTATGATGCTAAATAGGTTTCAGGGGAGCTTCCATACTAAGACAGACTAGGAAGAAAGGCCTGGTGTTGTAATTTTGAAAAATAAGCCCATGAAAACTCTATGGATCTCAATGTTCTGATCTCCTTGCGCATGGGGTGCATGGGCCGTCAGGAGTTGGAGGTCAACTTGACAACAGCTAACAGCTACAATTATACAATTTCACACAACACTTTCAAAAAGCTTTTAAACATATAGTTTTGATATTATACAATTGTAGAAGGATTCTGGAAAATATCTTCTCCAGTTTGTGGGAGGGGAGTAGAAGAAGCAAGTGTTACCTGAATAGTAAATAAAAATATGCCATGGAATAAATATTGGATGCAACATACTTATGAACAAAGTAATTTATATGAAATTCAAAGGTAACTGGGTATCTTATAATTTATATGCCCATTCTAGGGGAAAGGAGAGTGGGAAAGGCATCAAAAACTACTGAAAATTGGATCGATAGATAAATGGATGGATGGATAGATAGATAGTGTCTTAGTCGTCTAGTGTTGCTGTAACAGAGATACCACAAGTGGATAGCTTCAACAAAGATAAATTTATTCTCTCACAGTCTGGTAGGCTACAAGTCCAAATTCAGGGCATCAGCTCCAGGAGAAGGCTTTCTCTTTCTGTTGGCTCTGGAGGAAGGTCCTTGTGATGCATCAGTCTTCTCTTGGTCTGGGAGCATCTCAGCGCAGGAACCTCAGGTCCAAAGGACGTGCTCTGCTCCCAGCACTGGTTTCTTGGTGGTATGAGGTTCCCAAGTTTCTCTGCTCACTTCTCTCCTCTATATCTCAGAAGAGATTGGCTAAAGACACTATCTAATCTTGTAGACCTCATCAGTATAACTGCCACTAATCCATCTTATTACATCATAGTGATATAGTTTACAACACATAAGGAAATCACATCAGATTACAAAATGGTACACAATCACACAATACTGGGAATCATGACCCAGCCAAGTTGACAGATATTTTTGGAGGACACAATTCAATCCATGACACTCCACCCTTTGGCCCCCCAAAATTCACGTCCTTGCCACGTGTAAAACATATTCACCCCATCACATCATAGCAAAAGTCTTAAATCAACTCCAAGTCCAAAATCCAAAAATTCCTCTTCATCTGTGAAATCTAGAATACAAGTTATCTGTTTCCAAAGGTACAATGGTAGAACCAGTAGGCACAAGCTAGACATCTCCATTACAAGTGGGAGAAATTGGAGAGAAAGAAGGGATAACAGGCACCAAGCAAGTCAGCAGAACACATTACATTAGCCCTCAAGGCTTTGAAAATAATCTTTTGTTCTCTGAGACAATTTACACAATGACCCTTCCCTCCAGACTCTAGATATTGGCCACACTCTCCAGGTTCTGAGTGCAGGCCCCTTGGCTCTGTGCTTCATTTCCGCCTTCCAGGCCCACTGGGATGACAACTGTGCTCCCTCGGCTTTAGGCGCACCATTCTCCTAATCCATTGGAGTGACACCTCCACCCTTAGAAACACCAGAGGCCATGGCTCCACCCTGTGAAACCCCAGAGGTCCTGGCCATGCCTTTTGAGACAGAGGCAGCTCGGCTTCCTATGTTCCTTGTCTCTTCAGCTTCTGTTTCTGCTTCCTGTGGCCTCTTGGCCCTCGGGCCTCACACCCGCATCTACCCTCCTGGGGCAAGTGTTGCAAAGCTCAGTAGCTTCACCAGTAACTGCCTGGAGGCACCCCACTCTGCCAGGAAGCCTCCTGTGCACAGGCACTCAGATTTCTCGCTCCGTGGGTCAGCTCCAGTTCTGTGTTGCGCTGGTCTCCTGATTCTGCGTCTGTTGCTTCTCTGCCACTGCAAGGTCTCTGCTGCTGCTGGTCCTCTGCCACTGCCACTTCTCTATCCATTCACAGTTTCAAAAAACCTATTCCACAATTTAGGTATCTGTTAGAGCAGCACCCTACTCTTGGTACCAAATTCTGTCTTAGTCATCTAGTGCTTCTATAATAGAAATACCACAAGTAGGTGGCTTTAACAAAGAGAAGTTTATTCTCTCACAGTAGAATAGACTACAAGTCCAAATTCAGGTGTCAGCTCCAGGAGAAGGCTTTCTCTCTCTGTCGGCTCTGGAGGAAGGTCCTTGTGATGCATCAGTCTTCTCTTGGTCTGGGAGCATCTCAGCGCAGGAACCTCAGGTCCAAAGGACCTGCTCTGCTCCCAGCACTGGTTTCTTGGTGGTATGAGGTTCCCATGTCTCTCTGCTCACTTCTGTCTTTTATATCTCAAAAGAGATTGGCTTAAGACTCTATCTAATCTTATATACCTCATCAGTAAAACTGCCACTAATCCATCTTACTACATCATAGTGATAGATTTTACAACACATAAAAAAATCACATCAGATTACAAAATGGTACACAATCATACAATACTGGGAATCATGACCCAGCCAAGTTGACAGACATTTTTGGGGGGCACAATCCAATCCATGACAGATAGATAGATAGAAAGTTGAAAGTGGTCTTCTAAATCAAGAAGGGCTTGGTCTGTGATAGGATTCAAGGTATGCAATTCCTAGCTGCTCTGCCCATGAGCTAGGGGCCCTGAGCATCTCTCACTTGGGAAACAGAAACTTAATGTGAGGTCAAAATGGAACTTGGGGACAGCATGTGTCACTTGTTTACAGGTTCCAGTGAGGTGGACTCTTTAGGCTGGAGTGTAGTGTGGCAGGTGAGGAAGCCAGGATACATAAGACCAATCCAGTCAAGAGACCTTCCTGGGAAATGTGGCTTCCTGTAGTCCCAGGGGCGTTCTTCCAGAAAGGGCCTGGAAGGGGCAGTGTCCTGTTTCTCCATCCTGGGAGCTCTGCCCAGCCCTCGGGTTATGGAGGCCCTCCTGGAAGCCCAAGGCAGCTGCAGGTTGTAGTGTCTGTGTGGGCTGGGGGACATTGGGAGCCTGGCAGAGGAGCCCTGCCCTCCTCTCCTAGCCTCTGCTGCGGCCCCCCTCTGCACTTGCCATGCTGCTCTCCAGTCGAGCTTGCTGGGTCCAGCAGACATTTCACTGCAGGCCAGCTATGTCACTTTTAACTGTCCTGGTGTGGACAATAAATTACAGTCACCCTGTCACAGCTCAGGGTCCTCTTGTATTGAACTGCTTGCATCAGCTTTGTTTTTACCACAGAACCAGCTTTTACAACAGGTCAGCAAAATGATTCTGGCTACCAGAACATGGGTAAGAGGACAAATGAGACCAAAAAGAAAAAAAAAATGGTAGGGATAAGGAGAAACAACCCCACCCCATCTTCCCGAATCTTCTGGCTTGGGCTGGCCCAACAGAATAGGGTCACTGGGCCACCCTGAGAACCTCATCCTGGGAAGGACGTGGGGAAGAAGATTCTAGGGAGACAGAGACCCAGCTCTGGAGGAATCCGTGCAGACTGCATCTGTCCTGGGCCTGGAGTTTGAGGAGGACTTAGCATTCCCTGCAGAGACACTTCATTTAGGACAAAGGGCCCCGGGCACTCTGTAGGCTGTGTGGGGCTGACACAGCGCAGAGCCTGCAAGTGTTGGTAGAATAAGATGTCTGAGTTCATATTACCTGGGAAAAATCTCGATACTTTTGCTTTGTAAATTATTAAATGATTTTCATTGGTTTATTGTAACCAGTTTTTGTTTTTTCTTTTAAAATACCTGTGTTAGTCTCCGAGGGCTGCGGTAATAAGTCACCACCCACTTGGTAGCTTGAGACAACACAGATTTATTCTCTTACACTTCTGGAGGTCAGAAGTCCAAAATGAGTCTTTGGGAGACAAAATCAAGGTGTTGGCAAGGTTGGTTCCTCCTGGATGCTCCAGGGGAGATATCTGTTTCCTTGCTTTTTCTGCCTTCTGTAAACCACCTGCATTCCTTGACTTCTGACCCCTTCCTCATACCATGATGCCTTTGTTTCCCCCTACTTCCGTGGTCACATTGTCTTTTTCTCTTCTATTACCAAATCTCCCCCTGCCTGTCTCTTATAAGGGCAGTTGTGATTACATTTAGGGCCCACCTGGATAATACAGGATAATCTCTCATCTCAATACCCTTAACTTAGTCACATCTAGAAATACCCTTTTTCCATGTAAAGTAACATATCCACAAGTTTGAGGATTAGGACATGGACACCTTCCCTGAGACCATTGTTCAGCTGACCATGTCACCCTTCTCAGGTTGAACTGGTAGCCTTGCGTGTCTCCCTTTCAAGTAGGTACAGGACCCCTGCCCCCTGCAATACTGTCTGTAGAGACTATCTCTCACATATGTCTCCAAGCTTAATCTTCCAAAATATCCAGGAGCAGGGTTGTTTTACAAATGGGAAATTGGGAAGGAACTAACATTGACCAAGTTAAGGAATTCAAATGTCAGTTGAGCACCATTATATACAAGGTCCTGTACTTTCATTACAAGTCCCTGGGTGACTCAAATGGTAAAGTGCTCTGCTGCCAACCAAAAGATTGGCAGTTCAAATCCATCCAGAGATGCCTTGAAAGAAAGGCCTGGTGATTTACCTCTGAAAGATCAGAGTCATTGCAAACCCTTTGGAGCAGTTCTACTCTTAACCACATGGGGTAGCCATGAGTTGAAATTATTTCATTGGCAACTGGTTTTGGTACCTTCACTGTCATATTATCTTCCTGGCAACAGGGTAGGTAGTGATGAAGAACATGAAGTGAATGTTGAATAATTTATCTAAAACTGAAAAGCCAAAAGTGAAGGTGCTGAACTTGAACCCAGATCTGAGATTTCCAGCCCTCAGATATCCCCACCCTATCTTGCCCTGTCTAGCACTCACAGACCTGCAATGGACCTGAGAATGGGGGTGGGGGTGGGAAAGTGGGTGGGGGCAGTAGTGGCAGGGCACCTTTGGGTGTCCCTTTGTGGTGTGCAGTGACAGTTTTCTTTGGATGTTTCCAGAACCATAGAACATCAAGCAGAGAAGGAGCCTTACAGAAAATACACCCCAAGTGATTTTCAAACCAGAACATGCACAGAGCTATTTGGGAGCTTATTAAAAACAAATGTCCCTGGGTCCATACTGGG